AAATTCTGTTGGACTATGGTATGGGGCAGAATGACAGTACCACTACAAGAATTGAGAGAAAGATGTTTTTCAATAGTGATAGGAGTAGTATCGATATTCGAAAGGAGAGAAAGATCATGAGCTTGGGTAGCATTCTGGACAGTGACGATGCGCATACCGCTCGAGAGCATGAAATGAAATATCTCTACCAACATGACGCAGGGGAGCTTTGCCAATACTATGGTCAGAAAGGTAGGCAGAAGTCGGTCTTAAAGAATTTAGTCCATTGTGTGGTCCGAAACTGAGCGTGGAGAGGGAATGCTTGACGTGTCGTCTTTTCCAAGTAGAATGGGAAGGTAACGAAGGAGCATCAGGAGATTGACGTTGGCGTTTAGGAGTAGGACCGGAGTTGGTCCGGCGTGAAATGGGCGGGCGATTCGAAAATTGCCGTACCGTAGAGGGAGAAGCCGGAAGCATAGTCAAAGGAGAGCGGAGTTCAGACAAATCGAAGGAGTCAGTCGAAGCCCCGGTACCTTAAATGGGTGAGGAAACAGCACCAGCAAGAGGTACAGGGGCATCAGGAGTGTCCGAAGAGTGATCTAAACACAAGGCAGGGTCAGAATGGGGTGCGGTATCAAGAAGGGGCCTGGGGGTAGTGGGCTCATGGACTAGGGCTGCCATGGTTAGGTTACCCCTTTGCTTTTTGTTTTTAAGAAAAAAAAAAAAAAAAAAAAAAAAAAAAAAAAGAATAAAAAAAGGGGGGAGCAGGGAGGAATAGTTCCCAGGAGGAATGAAAGAGCCGGAAATCTCCCTCCGCGCCCAAGAGGACCTCAACACCGCTAGTAGCGCAGATGCAGCATGGAACCCGTGCCATACCCTACCCTTCATGCCAGTAAACCAGCAATCCGGGATAGCAACCTCACATCTGCCGAGCTACCTTGGTGGACAAAAGAGGGCGGCCGGATATCCGCCACAAAGCATACCTCCTTCGGCCACCACCCCCGGAATCCGAAAGGTGGCTTCCAGAGATACACCCGTCGCCCGAAAGACACCCAAAGCTACTCCGGGATACCGAGAGGATTGGGACATCCCCAGGCAATCCAGATTCCACGGCAAACTACGCCACCGCCAAGAACCTCAATGGAATGGGATGGACCCCGGCGTCCTTTCCCCTACCTAGGAACTAGCTCGCCTGTGGGAGAAATCCCAAAGGCCAAAAAGAGGAAGGGCAAAAGGGAGGGGTGGGGAGGAGGAGGAGGAATGGAAAAAGGGGAGGATGGGATAGGGGAGGGGAGAATGGGGGGTAATTAGGTTCGGTCTGAGGAAGAAGACCGACAGGGCTAATTCCTCAGACCAAGAGCCTCTTCACCATGCCAAGGAGCCCCCCTTGAAGAGGAAGGATTAGTATAGCTCACTGTATGAATGCATGAAAGAAAAAAGGTAGGGGTCATCCCAAAAAGGGGTTTGAGGGAGGGGCAAGGGAGTTCAACATCTTCCCAAAATATATCAAACACTACTGGAACAAGTGAAGCCTTCAAGAGGAAACTGGAAAAGTATCTTCACCAGGTGCCAAATCAACCAGGCTGTGATGGACAAGTGGGGCAGCAGGCCTCCAACAGCAATAGCCTGGTTGACCAGGCAAGCACCAGAGTAGTGAAACTCTCGGAACTCTTTAAAGATACTATGCTCATAAAGTGGGAGGTAGTATGACATTGCTATGCCTCTTAACCCTTTCAGGGTTGAGAGGTCCTCTCCTAAACTTGTTCTGAAGATCGAAAATTTTTTTTGGGGAAAAAAAAAAAAAATTTACTTATGGAAAGGTAGAGAATCTTTTCCTGATCATAATGATACCAAAAGTATGAAATTTGATGGAAAAACTTATGGAATTATGCTCTTGCAAAGTTAGCGGTATCGACGATGCTTACACATTGGTGATTTCGCCGACCGAGCCCTATTTTCGGCCAATTCCAGTGTACTAGTCGACAAAAATCATAACTATTTTGCTAGAACTCCATTATTATTTTTTTTCCTATCAAATGAGTACAAGAAACCACCCATTTACCAATTTGAACTATCCAATAAAGTGGTCAATTTAACAATTTTGCCAATTTCACACAAATTTCAAAAGATACCAATTTCCAAATAGGGTCCAGAATAAACAGACATTCCTGGCACTAAAATAACATTTCCTCTGTTCATTAGTCACATCCCCAGGCCCCTCTATACATTTCTTTTGCTTTCCACTGAATTTTTATCCTCGCAAAAAAAAAAAATAGAAGATTTACTGGTATGCAGACTACTGCATTAGTGTAGAAATGGTATAAATAATATCTCGTGAAAGAATATTAGACTCGCCAGCTGACGTGTATTGGACGTGTGGCATGATTTGTTTACTTTTGAACTTTGGCAAAAATCAAACATTTCTGCTACTTCGAGCTCAATTTCAAGGTACTTTTCATTGTGAAACCAATCAAAATCATCTCAATTCTGTAATGTGTCTTCCATTCTATGAAATGAAACCAGGAAAACTAGAATACAACCATAAATACCATACAAACATACAGTGCAAAGTCACTGTTTTAAACCATAAACACAATTTTTTTTTATCATTTCGCACTGTATGCTGCAGGATTTTTTTTATGCTGTGCACACTGACCACAGACCCATTCTTTCATATGTAGGCCTACCAGCTTTCTCTCAGATTTGAAGGCGCTAGAATTTAGGCGCACTAGTACATCAATAACCCTGGTGCGCAAGCCATACTAGTACGTAGTTAACCCTGAAAGGGTTAATTGTGGCATATCCAGAATTTTATTTATATTTAATCTTTTGAGAGAAGTTGTAGAGGTTGGTGGACAAATTTGAGGGTACATAAAAGAAAAAATGAGTGAATACAGTCTCTCCTCGGTTAACGGCGAAGTTCTGTTCCTAAGTAGGTTGGAGCATACTATGTATAATGGTAGTGGGTTTGTGTCAACCATCTTTGATATTGTATTATGTCACCTTTGCACCATTTATAATATTTCTGGTACATTGTTAAATATTTATACAGTAGTGTAGTGTATATTGTAATAAACAATAGGGGAAATCAAATAAAACATTACTTAGGTATGCATGCTGGTCAGAGCTGGTTGCAAGTCCAAGCAATCATTAAACGAGTATGTCAAGTCAGGAAACTATAGGAAAGAGCAAGGTGACGAGGATAAAATTTAGGTAATGTAAGACTGGATATCAGATTTGAAGGAAGGAGTATGGAGGAAGTGAATGTCTTCAAATATTTGGGAGTAGACAGTCAGCAGATGGGTCTATGAAAGATGAGGTAAACCATAGAATTGACAAGGTAAGGGGAAAAGTAGTGCACCGAGGCATTTGTGGAGACGAGAACATTATCCATGGAAGCAGAGGGAAATGTATGAAAGTAGTGGTACCAATTCTCATATGGGTGTGAAGCATAGGTAATGAATGTTGCAACAAGAAGGCTGGAGGCAGCTGAGATGTGTCAGCTATGTGTGGTGTGAATATGATCAAGAATCTTTAGCTTGGAGATTAGGAGGTACAGGATTTCTAAAAGTATTATCCAGAGGGCTGAAGAGGGGTCGTTGAGGTGGTTCAGACATTTCAAGATGGAACAAAATAGAACGAGGGTGTATGAATCTGTAGAAGGAAGGTAGGGTAGGGTAAGGTAGGGGTCATCCTAGGAAAGTTTAGGAGGTTTAGTGTGAGAGGGTCTTAAGACTTCTAGGAAGCTCGCATGAATGTGTTAGGTAGAACCCGCCGTATAAGTGGGGCCCTACTGTATTCACATTGTGAAATTAGAAAAGGTTACAGTTATAGGGAAAATGGCTAAAGTGGACAAACCAACCACTGTCCATGGGTGAAAGTGGCACTTATGCAAGATGTAAGGACTGGAATAGGATACAAAAATTAAACTTTCCAAAATACCTACATATAGTAAAACATCAATGGACAATGAAAGAACATTATGCCTGGAATCATTCATAAGCATCAAAAACATTTGCAACTGCATAATAAATATAAATACCACCAATGTTATTTATGCCCTAATGCCTAACTGTTAAGACTTTCATTGGTGTGTGCCTTGTTGACTATCACCATTCCAATTTTTTTTCCTTTTGAAAAGATGCATACCTATGTATAGATATGCAGTTATATGGAACCTTCATTTAAAACTTGTCCAGTGGCCAGTCTAGACATCTTGCTCCCAGAGCCTGACCTGGGGCAAAAGCTTTAGTCAACTGCCTGGTCAACAAGGCTGTTATTGTTGACCCCCCCCCCCTCCCTCCACATCCATCACAGCCTGGCTGATTTGGTACTTAGCAGAGGTAATGATTTTCCTCCAAGATTTCTATATTCATTCTAACACTATATCCAATATCTACTGGTAGAAAAGCTAATAGTCCCAGCCCACAGATTTTGAAAGTGCTCTTACTATGCCCAGGATGCCTCTGCTTTTCACTGGGTTTTTACATTTCCATATCTCTCCTTCCAGTATGGGGTTACAGTAATGTCTAGGTTTAAGACTAGGCCCTCAAGTACTGTCCACATGTATCCAGAAGAGTACCTATTCAGGATCTGAGGCATTCCTAGTAGTTCAAATGTTTTATTGGCACTGCAGGAAGTAAATCCATTCCAGCTCTAATAGTGTGTTGAACTGAACTATCAACACCGAGCAGTAGCATAGGCGGGAGAGCACAAGTGGTTTCCCTGGTTTGGAAGGGAAAATGGATCTGATTTTATAAAGCACACTGTAAATAGTCTTCAAAAAAGGTTCCACTCAACACCATATACACCTCCTTACCCTCACTGCTGGAATTTTCTACCATTATATGAATTGGCATCATTTACGGAAACCTGTCTAACACGAGAAAAACAAAGATACAATACTAAGTATCTTAAGGCAAATTCCTCAACATTTCTATTAAAATAATCAAGTGACTTAACAGTCATGAACATATTAGATGCAAAAAATTTAAAGTTTTAATTATGGTATGAAAACTAACCTCATTAGTTTCCTTTTTATATAACTTTAGTGTAGGGAATGACTGGATTTTCGTGTGCTCCAGCTCATTCGCAGTTGCATCCATTTTGCCAATAACAATAGTTTCGTGGTCTTTGTATCTCTCACCCAGCTGATCATAGATAGGAGCCAGCTGCTTGCAGTGACCACACCATGGTGCATAGAACTCCACCAGGACATCTTTCTCCTTATTGAAAGCTACTTCATCAAAGTTAGATGCTACCAGAACCTGTTAATATAATGTAACTGATAATTAACAATGAATTTATTATAATGAAGGATAAAGTTAAAATTATTTTTTCTAGTTGTGAACTTAGTTTTTCTAAGCTGCAAGAAATGTGCTCGACTTTAAATTAAAAAAAATATCTTGCATAAGAACATTACAGGGGTTGTGTACTTTCAGCTAAAATTTGATAAAAGGTAAACTATTATGTAACAGAGTAACTTGGCACCTTTGTGGTAGCTTCATCAATTTTAAATTACAAAATTCTAATATACAAAACATTTGGTACATAACCATCTCATGGGGGAGAAAGGACCAGGCCTAGTGACTAACTTGGCACCCATACTTTTTACTGAATCTTTGTAGATGAATGGTTCAGAGAACCAACACATCGATAAATTACACATGTGCAACTCTTGGGTATCTTTATTGAAGAAACGTATCGCCACAGTGGCTTCAGTCCATTGTATGGACTGATGAAGCCACTGTGCGGCAATATGTTTCTTCAATAAAGATACCCAAGAGTTGCACATGTGTAATTTATCATACTGAATCTTCCTCCCCTCCTGGTGTTTAGCTACCATACAGTATTACACTATGCAAATTAACTTTTTACTCTAATAAGGTGTGGTATTTCCTGAAAGAGGATGCCCACCAAAATGAAGTTGAAAAATCAACTATATACCATGCAAAACACTTTTCCCTACAGGGTGGGACAAGGACAAGGCAAGTGTTGACTTTTTCCCTATACGAAGCATGTGCTTGCAGAAGATTCATTTCTGCTCTTATATGGTTTACAAGCCTGCCCTCTGCAGCCATTCATATTTGGCTCCATAAGCTCTTTTCCTTTCCTAAAATTGGCTCAGTACTGATAACTGTCATATGGCAATCTAGGCCCGACAATCCTTGGAATGCTCTTTCCGTTAGATGGCTATACACCTCTGATCTCCTCACCCTACGACCTCTAGACACCCTAGTTTGCCTAAATGCTACTATTCTGGCCCTGTATATTAAACCAATGGGAATCTATCTTTCACTGGCATTCAAGAATATAGCTTATCAAACCCCCAATAGACCATAACATTTTATAAATCTCACAGCTCACTATCTGCTGTTTAGAATCCATATTTCCTACACATGAAAGCTATGCAACTTTAAGCCAAAAATACTTTACACCACTAAGTTTTATTTACAAAATTTACATCTAATATTACCATTTGTACTAATGTCATTGTTTAGAACACTAATCTTCTGGTGTTCTATTGCCATGAAGTACCACCCTTTCCCCGACATACCTGCTGTAGCATAAAACTTATTTACATAGAAGAAACATGAATTTGCCAGACCAAAACTAAAGGATTTTAACCTAGCCAAGTTATATTACTGGGCTATGTTCAACCAGATGGGGGTCTTACAATGCCAAGGGAAAGAATGAGTAGCAATTAAGTTTGATCCAAGTAATGAGATTATATCATTTCTGGCATCTGCCAAGTTTATTAGTGCTGCATAAGGTATATGCAGAAAGTCATGCCCAGTTTCCTCTGGCACCCACACTGGGTAAATTGTCAAACCCACTTAACAGATCAAATGGCATGGCAATTTAAATTTGAATTCTTATGCACTTATTTATTGAACCAGTGAAACTGCATTAAAGATTACCGTACAATTTGTATAGCTTTACACCGGGAAAAATAAAATTTGAACTTGCTTATTTTAAACTGACCTTACAAGAACAGTCAAAGTAAAATATTTAGAAATTAGAAAATTTAAAATTTTAAGCTGATATACATAACCACTACAATACTATTTAACTTCTGGTGGAAGAAAAGTCACATGGAAATTAAACCATTACATTTGAATGGCTTAAACAGTATATATTTTACCACATTCATCAAAACAGATTTTTACCAACTAGCACACTGTACAGTCAGGATCATCAGCATTAACCAAACTTAATAGGCAAAACTCAATTTCCTGCAGCAAAGTGCAAGTGGACAAACGCCTACAGATAGCCCTCTCAAAACAGAACACTAAACTTTCATATTCCAAAATTAGAACACTAGACTAGCCTGTGTCAATGCAACTAAACTTTACAAAAATTTAATTTGGGTCGATTCCCACTCGGAAAATTGTCTCCTGTGCCTTTAGAAACTCCTGGGTGAGGATTGAAAAGGGGCAATATTTTAGGGGGTGATAGAGCTGCCAGGTTGTGAAGGTGGTAGGAGCCACAATACAAAATACAACTGGCAATAAGTGATGGTGGAGAATGGTGTTAGGTGGACTGCTGGTAGGTGATTAAGATGTTGGCATTAGGTTAACAAGCAACCAAATCTACAATGTAAGGTATCAAGAATTTTTTCTAGACAAATATTTATAGGCTCTATACAACTTTCTAACCCTATTTTTTACATTACATTGGATATAACAGTGGTACACAATACAAAGTTAGATTAGACATGTGTAACATCTGGGTATCTTATTTTGTGGTTTTGTTGACTAGTGGCTTTACTAATACAGTGGACCCCCGCATAACGATGGCATCACATAGCGATTATTTCGCATACCGCTTACTTTAATTGCAAAAATTTTGCCTCACATACCGCTTAAAAACCCGCTTACCGATTTTCGTCCGAGACGCGTCCAATGTGCCCTGAGCCACGCTCACATTGCCGTTCACTGTCATGTTACCAGCCAGCCTCCGCGTAACATCCAAGCATACAATGAATATTTCGTATTATTACAGTGTTTTGTCGCTTTTTTCTGGAAAATAAGTGACCATGGCCCCAAGAAAGCTTCTAGTGCCAACCCTACAGCAATAAGGGTGAGAATTACAATAGAGATGAAGAAAAAGATCATTGATAAGTATGAAAGTGGAGTGCATGTTCTCCGAGCTGGCCAGGTTGTATAATAAACCCCAATCAACCATCGCTACTATTGGTGTACAGCTGCTTGCTGCTGCTTGCCACTTTCAGCTGCCTGCTGCTGCTGTGCTGCTAGCTGCTGCTGCTGCTGCTGCTGCACTGTCAGCTGCTGCTGCTTGTAGCACGTTGTTGTTGTGGCTATTGAGAATACCAAGAAACAATTAACCCCAGAGGATTTGCCACCCAGGATAACCCAAAAAAGTCATGTTCATCGAAGACTAACTTATTTCCATTGGGTCCTTAATCTTGTCTCCCAGGATGCAAACCCACACAAGTCGACTAACACCCAGGTGAACAGGGAAAAATGCCTGGAACTAGTGCTCATATTGGTGAATTTAAAGCCAGCAAAGGTTGGTTTGAGAGATTTAAGAATCGTAGTGGCATACACTGTGATAAGGCCTGTTCTGGAAGAAAATGCCAAACAGGACCTACAGTACTCAGGAGGAAAAGGCACTCCCAGGACACAGTGTCTCATCAGTCATTGCTGCATCTTCAATAAAGGTAAGTGTCATTTATTCTTCATTTAGTAGACTAGTACATGCACAATATATACTGTGCATGTACTACTCTACTATTGTGCATGTATCCTCCTCTTTGTGTGTGGGAAAATGTATATTTCATGTGGTAAAATTTTTTTTTTCATACTTTTGGGTGTCTTGCACGGATTAATTTGATTTCCATTATTTCTTATGGGGAAAATTCATTCACATAGTGATTTCGCATAACAATTACCCCTCTTGCACGGATTAAAATCGTTAACCGGGGGTCCACTGTACTATAAGATGAATAAACAGACTGAAGAGGTAGATGAGGTAATTAGTCCCTAAGCAGGTGTTCCATTACTTCAGTCCTGGAGTCTAAGTGAAGCACAGGCAAGAAGACACTTGTATAGCAATTCCTATATTGAACCAAAAGCCACCAATTTTTCAAACCTTTACAAAATAAAAATTGCCAGAAGTTCTACATGTATAATTCAACATACCCAATAAAATTCTTTTAACAGTTTCCAGACAACTTTTGTCAAGTCTGAAAGACATTAAATTTAAGTCTTAAAGTAAGGTTTCTAACTCCATTCTTATTTTAGGTACAATATCAAATCTACGAGAACTTCATAGAAAGTTCGTATTAACTCACTTTGACAGGCTCCTTGTCCCAATCGTCAGTAAGTTCTTGAGACAGAAGATGTTGCTTCAACTTTCCATCCAAGTAGCTCTGTACAAAGCTAACTAATGCACTCTCACTCAGATCATACGTTTCTGGCTTGTACTTTGCCATATCTTCTTCCAACTTTATGATGCGAAGGCCTGGAACCTAAGTCACATTAAGAGTTAAAACTGAATTTCAAGGAGCTGCTCATTTCAAGCATGTTAATCATTTCAGATTTTCCAGAGGCTCTGTGAATGTATAATAGTACGTATTGCTTAAAAACGAGAAATTTTAATTAAAAATACTCTAATGTCAGCTTTCTTTGCAATATATGCAAATTGAATTTATAATTAAATTTAATAAAGGAACCAAAAAATAATTACCTCTTCCTTCTTCATTCCAAAGAACTCCAAGATGCGAGAGTGGTCCTCCTCATCAGTGTTTATCGTTACAAACAAAACTTGTCCCTTGAAACCTTTAGCAGCACCCTTGCACGCTTCCAAGTGCGTGTCATAGTGACCAGCCTCCTTTGACAAGAAAACTAGAAGATGGGATTTTATTTCACCTCCAAAGATCTTTGAAGCAGTCTCATGGTTGAAGTCTACAACTAAAGGCAATGAATTTGCTGCTACAAACTTTGTCAACTCTGCTTCTGTTACCTCTCCTTCAAAAACATTCTTTCCTTCATCAAAGTCCTTAAACAAAATCACACCATCACCTTCCAATCCATATTCTGAGAAAAGCTTTGTTTCAGATGTAATACCAAATGGAAAGTCATCAGTGGCAGATGCAGCAGACAAGAACTCCTTAGCAGGAGTAGATTCCTGATCCTTAAAGAAACCAATGATTACCACTGGTTTTTCAGCAATAAATGCCTTGGCATCTTCCACAGATTCAAGCGTCTTTGCAGGAGGACCAGTCTTCTTCAAAAGCCAATTAACGATGTCGTCAGCATGGCGACCACCATTGTATTCAATGGGTTTGCCAGAGCGGAAAAATTTGAGGGTGGGATAGCCACGGACACCATGTTCTTCAGCAAGTTCAGTTTCTTCTGTTGCATCTACCTTTGCTAATTTAATAGCAGATTCTTGTTCTGTTAGTTTTGCTGCAGCTTTCACATATTCAGGAGCAAGGGCTTTGCAGTGACCACACCATGGGGCATCTGCAATTAAGTTTTGTTTATTAATACATAATCCAGCTAGCATTTAACAAGCAACCAAATACCATAATTTATACCCCAAACAAATTTAAAAAACCTTAAACTATGTAGTTCAGTAAATACTTTAGAAGGTACTGGCACTACTTGTGGGTAAAGGATTGCATACCAATAAACCTAAATACTATACAGAAGTAAATTTTAAAGTCTAAAAACCATGTTAAAACTACATACAATCTACATTTAATAGGATATACTCAGGAGGGCAGTCAAGATGACTTTCCACCTGATCTAATCATCCAGGAACATTAAAGATTGCCATCCCATGTGTGGCCAGAACAAAGACTACTGAATAGTTAAATGACAAGCTTCATGATTATGATTCTGAAAGACAAAATGACCTGAAGTCACAAAGATTGGCAACAAACTTTTGGAAATGCAGCAGTGCAGCTGTCAAAGAGGATGGGGAAACCAAGAGCTGAAATACTGGAAATGCTTAAAAATTGTATTCAAACAGTCCCAAAATTGATAGCAAATGATTAGAACATAGAATATTAATCAAGTATGGTATTGTGGGTGACATGACAAGCACATTGCCCAGGGTCATTATTTGGCATAATGAATTACAAGAACATTAATAGGCAAAATTAATAAAAACAGAGCATGAATGAAAAACAGTAATGAACAGTATAAAGTTAAAATTAACAATTTAATAGGATTAATTGGTCAAGTCAAGAGACATCCCTGAACTCTCCACAGGAACCCTACAGGTAGGAAGGAAAAGTACATAGTTCGATATTTGACAAGTGCTTGCACAGTACATATATAGTATACACACATTTAACACCTGGCAATAGATATACAATATGCAAAAAGGGATTTTTTTTTTTTTTATTAACACACTGGCCGATTCCCACCAAGGCAGGGTGGCCCGAAAAAGAAAAACTTTCACCATCATTCACTCCATCACTGTCTTGCCAGAAGGGTGCTTTACACTACAGTTTTTAAACTGCAACATTAACACCCCTCCTTCAGAGTGCAGGCACTGTACTTCCCATCTCCAGGACTCAAGTCCGGCCTGCCGGTTTCCCTGAATCCCTTCATAAATGTTACTTTGCTCACACTCCAACAGCACGTCAAGTATTAAAAACCATTAGTCTCCATTCACTCCTATCAAACACGCTCACGCATGCCCGCTGGAAGTCCAAGCCCCTCCCACACAAAACCTCCTTTACCCCCTCCCTCCAACCTTTCCTAGGCTGACCCTTACCCCACCTACCTTCCACTACAGACTGATACACCAAGTCATTGTTTCGCTCCATTCTCTCTACATGTCCGAACCACCTCAACCCTTCCTCAGCCCTCTGGACAACAGTTTTGGCAATCCCGCACCTCTTCCTAACTTCCAAACTACGAATTCTCTGCATTACATTCACACCACACATTGCCCTCAGACATGACATCTCCACTGCCTCCAGCCTTCTCCTTGCTGCAACATTCATCACCCATGCTTCACACCCATATAAGAGCGTTGGTAAAACTATACTCATACATTCCCTTCTTTGCCTTCAAAGACAAAGTTCTTTGTCTCCACAGACTCCTAAGTGCACCGCTCATCCTTTTCCCCTCATCAGTTCTGTGATTCACCTCCTTTTTCATAGATCCATCCGCTGACACGTCCACTCCCAAATATCTGAATACATTCACCTCCTCCATACTCTCCCTCCAATCTGATATTCCAATCTTTCATCACCATAACCTTACTCTTCCCTGTATTCACTTTTAATTTTCTTTTTACATACCCTACCAATATCAGTAAAAAAAAATCCCATTAAATTAGTAATTTCAAACAACTTTCCTAAATTTCACACTGACTAGCACTAGTCCTGCTTTCCTTCCATGGTACCTTTTAAATCAGTATAATGCAGCATATTTATATATAGTAAAAATTCAGTGAATGAATGGCACAAAGTACATATATGGTGAGAAAAAAAAAAAGTGGGATTTAGACTTCACTGGAATTGTGCATTTCTTTAGCACTACATACAAACAATTAAGTACATATAAAAGTAAGCCAACAAGTGACAAAATCCAATAATAAAAAGTCCACATGTTCTCAGACGTTTAGGTAATAACACTAATTTTTCATCAGTCTGAAATGCAAACTAAAGTCTGTAGTATGGGTGTGCCAAAATATTGGCAGGCATCTGCTAATTTTCATGGTAGCAGCAGAGGCCTTAGCCTGAGTATCTATTGGCAAAAATTTTTATAGTCCCATCCCTAGAGTGCAGCACACAAGATACAAAAACAGATTGTTCCTTGCATGCAGGTGACCCTGGGTGACTTCCTAAGCCTTGTTTGTTAAAGAATTCATCAAGATGCTGCTCCAAATCATCCATGCCCTACCTGGAGGGTGTCCCATGGGTCAATGCCCACCATGGCCCAGTCCATGACCAGGTTCTGGTGTCAAACCATATTAAATAGTTAATGGTGAAAGTAAAAATTATGGTAACTTCACTGCCTTTTGCATCATCTAGCTGGTTATCAAACTGTCATTTCTTAATATAAGTGCAAAAATGAGCATAAAAAGAATCAGGCACTTACCCCTACATTATGCAACTAAATTTACAAATTTCATATTTATGCTTTATACAGAAGTAGTCAGACCCAAGCACATCAAATTAAATTGGAAATTTGTATTACAGGTACAGTGGACCCTCAAATTTCATAATCCGTTCCAGAGTGTAACGGAAGTTGAAATTTATGAATGGCAAAACCATTTTCCCCATTAGAAATAATTTAAATCCAATTAATCCATTCCAGACACCCAAAACTATTAACCCTTTCAGGGTCGGCAGGCCCTCTCCTAAACTTGTTCTCAGGGTTGGAAATTTAAAAAAAAAAAAAAATTCGTATGTAGGCCTACCAGCTTACGCTAAATATGAAGGCGCTAGAATTTATGCGTACCAGTACGGCACCAATCCTGGCATGCAAGCCGTACTAGTACGGCACCAACCCTGAAAGGGTTAAACTTTTTTTTACTCTATAGATTTACACAGAAAACAATGAGACCAAGTACAGTATGTATAAAACTTGAATAACTTCACACTTATCTTCACTGAAGGCTTCTTGGTGTATGGAAGACAGGAGGAGAGAGATGGAGAAGTTACATTATTGTTTGGAAGGGAAATCCCCTTTCATAAAGATTTTAGGTACCAAGTCCTTATCCAGGGTTACTTCCCTGTTTTTAATGCCACAAGGATTAGCTCGAGTCACTGGACCCGTTGCACAAAACTGTCCAGAGAACTCTTGCAGCTCCACCCTCACTACCGCTACCACCCTCTACCAAAGGGCTGGCACTAGAAGCTCTTTGGGACCATTGTGGCTTTTAGAAGTTGTAAGCACCAAAAAGAATTGAATATTACAAAATGTATTGTATGAACACGTGGAGTGATGGTCACTTGCCAATAAACAATGCCACACTGACTGGTAGCAGTGTGTGGGGTGCCTCTGGGGCACACGCTGGAAGCCACTCGTACACTTTCTGGATGAGAGACAAATGAGAGCCAAATTATGAACCATATGGCTATATTTTGACGAAAAAAAGTTGAAAGCTGAAACTTACGAAGCACAAGCCTTATGAAACTAGGGTCCACTGTACAACAGATTTTCCAGCACCCTTGGTTCCTAAGCAATGCCAGAATATTTACTTTCTAGATCAACTACAGTCACATAACTGAACAACACTTCCAGTACATCATGGACTCTAGAAATTAACATTAAAAAAGTACAAATGAAACAGTTTATTACTGTACTTAAAAAGAATGTTGCAGTACTACCACTCCTAGTGGTAAATTTTAGAATTTTACTGGAACTGTAGGGCTAGTCACAGGTCTGGAAAGTTGAGAGTTGTCAGGATTACCGTTTCATAGTTAACCATTTCATCATTTATTAGTGAAGAAAGGAGGAGATCTGGGTAAGTTGAAGCCACAAGATTTTCAGATGAATGTCTACTGCTATGACATTCTTTGCTATCTTTTTAAATGCTTCATCATGGTAAAGTTTGTGCACTCTGACTTCACTAATCTTTTCATGCATCAAACAAAAATTAAATTAGCTATTATCACAAATGAACATTTTGTAGCACTAATTCACCTGAAACCATAAACTTAATAGTTACAGGCAATGAGATATTAGCCTTAGCCAGGGTTAAATGTTAACAAAATACCCTAAAATCAAGGCATCACTACCAGCAATGTAAACAAGATAAGCAAGTGTGTAGTACAAATCATGTGGGGCTGCCCAGTAAACTAGTCTGGCAAAAAACTAAGGTATTAATTTTGTTTGAACTAAAAAAGGTGCCAAACCATCTGAAAACTGTTCCTGTACTATGAGAGCAGTTAATTTATACAAAAACCAACATTTTTAATTCCATTTGTAAATACAGTATACATACCTATTTTGAAAAGTTTTTAAAACTACAGTACTGAGTACAGTACTAGGTTCATCCCAGTCTGCATAAAAAACAAAAGGCAAAGGGAGAGGCAGCAGGAAAATTTCATTTTCAGATTTAATCATTAATTCTTTAGTTACCAATTTTTAGTAAATTTAGAAATTTAGCAATAGAAATTTTAAATGTACATTATGAATTCTGCACAAAAGTTAAAAACTATCACAGTAATTAAAAAGAATAAAGCAATGAACCCAAGTATGGGTAGGGGGCTCAAAGGAGATGTGAACATTCAAACAAATTTGAGCCAAAAGATGGCAGCATGTACTGAACTGAAATTTCACCCCTTCTAGGCATTTTAGCACATCCATATGCTCCAGTTATTTGGCAGTCAGCGAAATCACATCTGCTGCCAGATGATTCCATGGACTTCTCTGAAAAGTGAAATCTTTCCAGTGAAAAGATGTTTTCTCAAGGTCTAAGTAGTGCCTCAGACCTTAAAAAAAATATTGGTTTCAAAGATTCTTGTATGCCAAAGTATACAGATCAATGTTTA